GCAGCTGCTGCCGCAGCCTCGGCCTTGGCCTCGGAGATTGGTCAAGGGGACATCAATTTTCTCGACCAGATGAAGCGGATATGTGAAATAGCTCAGCCTAGGGTTTGCGTTCGGGCAGAGTGTTTCCCCGTTGAAGGCTCCAAAGCCGCAACCGTTCTGTTTCTGGGTGAAAAGCTCGGCATCGACATTATCATTATAGGCCAACGCCGAACTCTTTCATCCGCCATTCTAGGGTAAGTGTTTCCTCCCCTATCCCTTTCCTATCAACACCAAAAAAACCCGCAATGGACTAGGGAAACTCATAACTATGACTATGCACCATATCAAGACAGGGCAGGTAAAACACGCAGAAATTAGCTAAAAAAAGAACGATGTAAAAGCATATGCATGAAGAGAAATATTTCTATCATAAAAAAAATTAACAGAGAACGATAACGCGGGCGTTTTTTGGATGTCAGATCTAGACGGCCTGGAGGGTCTCTAAGAGGTTCTAAAGGAGTAGATACAGCAGAGTATTTGATCGAGAACTGCAAATGTACCTGTGTTGGTGTGCAGAAGAAGGGCCAGAACGGGGGCTACATTCTCAACACCAAGACCCACAAGAACTTCTGGCTCTTAGCCTGATCGTGAACGACGCTTTACTCTAGCAACTATTCCCGATCTGCTTCCTCCTAGTCAGTTTACGTGGTTTCGGGTAGCTAACAAAACTTGTTTCTGATAACAAGCGACTACCGGTCCTCTCCTCTTCTTTACCTGTTTCTTTCTTTTCTCTACATTCTAACAATGAAGTGTTTCGTGTTCATTTCCATTTGCATCTACGAAAGGGTAAGCTACAAATATCTAAATAGTAAGGCCATGTGCAACTAACAGGTGAGAACCGGGCTTTACTCTAACGACTAAAAGACAGAGACTTTAGCCATAAGTGGAAGAGAAGGATTTGAGAGAGATGCCCAATATAAGCAAATGAGAAATGAATATATTTGAATCCATCGAAAGTGATTGCAGAGGAGGAAGACAAACACAGTACTTGATTCCTAGTGCTACTCTCGCCCAGTATAGAAACTTAGAAAGTATGATATACAAGAGAAAAGACAACAAGACCTTAAAGTTCGTCGTGCATGCGTTGTTCTTGAGGATTAATAACATTTGGAACTGCATTTCCATCTAATTTTCCGAGATGCATACCATCTCCTACCCCTCCCGCCCCATTTGCTGCTTTTCCAGCCATTCCAGCTGCTTTTATGGCGGCGGTAGCCATTCTTTGTAGTTTCAGGATTCCAATGCGCTTGGAAACAACATATAGGACAGCGCAAGAGAAAAGGAGAAATCCAACTACGAGAATTAACCTGTTGAGAGAGCCCAAAAGAAAATCGTAAAGAAGCTTGCCATGACCTAGAACTCATCTTTGGAAGTAACTGTGCAGAACTTAATCCTTACAATACCTATCAATTACATCTTGGCGTTGCATTGTCGAAAGTAGATTCCTGGTCCTCGACAACAACGACCGATGTCCCTTGTATTCACTCTCAGCCTTTTTAAGTACTCCGGTAGATTCCTCTGTAATTTAAGTACAAGTAAATTCAGTCTCTAACTCATTTTCACCATACACCTCGTCATTGGGAAACATCGAAGCAAGTGTATTTAATCACCATATAGAAAATGATGGCTCTTGGAAGCCATGCATGCCAAGGAACTATTTATAGCGCGACAAATCTCAAACTGTATTGAGTACCTAAGCATATTTTTCAACTATAACGCAAGAATGACATACCAAAAGTCATGAGTGTGTTTGTACTTCTTTCGACCTCCTGTACCCACAAAAGTTCAGAGAACAAGTTTGATCAACCGATTTGTTAATCTTTTGTTTGATAAGATGCAGCGAAGCAAAAAGAAAATGCAAGAGCAATATCCATAATATTAGCTATTATGACCTGAACCATCAGCTGTCGCGACCGCCGGAGACTTTCAGTGATGCCTTCAGCAGCTGATGTCATGCCAGCCTTTGTCCTAAAGGCAACCAAGAATTGTATAGTTATTGAAAACAAAAGATAACAGAAAGAAAGCCAACAGAATTAACAAATCCAAGAATTATCGAGTTGTGCTTCGTTTACGACAAATAGAGAATTTATCAAATCCTAACATTTTCCCACAACTTCCCTGAAGATTTCAACAAGGTATTCGTGCAGATGAAATTCAGTGAGAAGGTACATACTGTAGGTTACGTCTGCGAACTGTGGACTCCGTTCCGCCACCCAGAAGAAGCTCTCTCTACAATCACCACAGAGGAAGATGACTATTTATGTAATTAGCCTTGCTTGAAATAAGAACTGCAAAAAGGTAACTATTAAGGTTTTCTACTTGACTGAAAAACTCAGGGCAAACCTTCTGCATTCAGGCGAGAACCCGGAATGGAAAATGGAATAATTACCAAGAAAAAACAACTAATCAACACATAGCGGAGATGCATGCAAGGCCACAGCCCTTACCTCTTCCTGAGCAGCTTTCCTTATGTTATCCTTTGCTTGCAAGTTAGCATTTCTAAGATTTATCCGCAAACTGACCACAAACACAGAAACCCAGATTCCTTAGGTCAATCGACAACATAATAACCAAGAACATAGATCTTACTTTCACTGCTTACTATTGAAAAATGTTTTCACATCTTCACCTCTAAACCTTGACAGAGGATACACAAAACTCAGATGATGTTTCTATTTTTCCTCATTATTTCTCGTATCTAATGCTCCCCATCTTCCGTTCTTACTTCTTAGTAGAACTAGAACTCGAAACACAATCAGAGAATGCACCTATGCCATTTGATCATGGCTCCCAGCCTCCCACTATCTATTCCAAATCAACATTTCTAATGCAGATACAATTCCAGCAGTTCATATCTGTGTAGGCCTCTAATACGTTTCGACTACTATCAATCCAACAAAAGGACTTCTTCTATTGCCCCAAATACGACCCAATTGTACCAAACTAAGGATAAAAAAATAGTCTCCCCGATCTTACACCTGTTGTATCGATTCTTCCATGAATCGAGCAGCGTCTGAGCGGATTGAACCTGATCATCGGAAGGAAGCTGAGGAGCGAGAAGATCCAAGTTGAATTGCAGAGAATCAAGGAGAGAGAGACCGTCCTGAGCCAATCCGTTGAGCCTCTGCAGCGAAATCTTCCCTCCTTCATCGTCTCCTCCCCTTCTGGATCTGCCGTACTCTTGTATCGCCATGATGTGCCCGATCGTCTTCTCGTACGCGTCTTCCCATTCTCTCTTCGTCTTCTCCACTGCTTCGGCTACTTCGTCCATGCCTCCGAGAATCAGTTGCCGTTATCAATGGAGATCTTCGATTTCGCCTGAGAACGTAAAATACGAAAGGTATTGGGCTTTTAAATAAATACATCGCAACATAATTGCAAGTTATGGGCCCTAATGGCCTAAACTTTATAAAAGGCCCAATTATAATATACTATTATACAAATCACGTAAATTTATTCTATATGAATTACTATTTTTTAGTCTTATATTTTTTTCATAATTACCGAATAAGTGACATTTTTCTCATTGCAATTGGAGCAGTTTTTTTTATCCTCGGTTCGTTTTTATTTATGAAAGTAATTTTAATATAAACGCACAAAAAAACTCATTTTATGGTTCTTGCATTTATGGTTTTTTTTTTTGTTAATCCGGAAATTCACCGGATCTTCGGCTCAACTACATCTCCCAGAAGATCGGGGAACCCATGTGAATACCCCTCTTCAACCTCAGGAATCGAACCGCCGACGTGAAGGCACATTGGCCAACACGCCAACCACTCGCCCACGCTAGATTGGGTTGCATATATGGTTTAATAGATGTGAAGATAATTAAATTTGTTTCCAAGGGGAATTTGTTAATAAATATATTATCTATGGTAGATGCAAATTATAAACTAATGGTCTACCCAATATTTTCTATTTGATACATGTATATGCAAAAATAAATTTTTATAACCAAATATTCGAGAAAATTTATGTTTATGGATATATAGAATGTTCCAACACCATTTGGTTGCGGCTACCCTTTAAAAACTTGAAGGTATAGATTGTAGCGGTAACGGCATTAATCTTTATCATTTGGCGAGGGAGAAAATCGAGGAAAATATATGCTTAAATATCTAGGATTTATTGCTTATATTTTATCTTTATATGACCATCAATTAACTTATCGGTTGATATTAGATGTATTCCTTTAAAATGTTTATTTTTTTAATAGTTCGATTTTAGATGTATTTTTGTAATTTATCGGTCAATAATTGTGTAAAACTTTAGATATGAAATATAAGTGTTTCGGAGTAGATATATATTGGAAACTAGTGGTGGGTGTTTAAGTATTCGGTTCGGGTTCGGTAAAAAAATTATTCGGTTTTGTAAAATATATATCAATCGGTTATTATATTATATTCAGTTCGGTTCGATTCGATTTTGTTTCGGTTGTTATTAAGAAAATTTTATATTTTCTAAAAAAATTCGATTTTTTTTTTGTTTTTCGAAATTCTGTTCTAAAATATATTGTTTAAATTTTTTTAATGATTCGGATCAAGAACGATACTAAATTTTTTGGTTCGGTATAGTATGATTCCGAAGATGAAAATCATATTATACCGAAACACCCGTCTCTAGTGAAACCCATTTCAGTAATTTAGTTATAAATCAGAGTATAATTAATGTGAATTTTGTTAAGATGAAAATTCAAGAGAGAGAGAAAAAAGCATATTAATCAACTATACGGGAGAGAACTATGAAGATGTCGATATCAATTGGCAAAGGAAGTCAAGATTGCAAAGGTTATATATGGATATGAGGAAGACGGTCGGTCGAATCTTTCTGTGAATGATGTAAATATTTTGCCTACCAACAAATTTTTTTTTTATATAAAATAAGATAATATTATTCGGACGTGAGAGAGAGAGATGATGAAATGACCGCAAAACTCTTTGACCCATTGACTTTAGTGTAAGGACACAAAATCTTCCAAAACCCACTCGTGCGCCAACACATCTTTTTTTTTTTGTTATTTACATTTTTCTAAATCTTCATTTTTTTTACGCCATTAATTAGAATCCGACAATTCTCCATCCTCAAATTATATTTTCATACAAATTACCAAAAAAAATTATCTCATTCTTAATTTTTAAGAAGACGAAAAAAACATCATGCAATTTGTTTTAAAATAAAACCGATTTCTTTTAGGATAATGTTTGGATTATTATTAATTAACTAGAGAACAGAAACAAAATTAATTGATAAAAATCTCCAAAAAAGGTTTGTTTTATATTCCCGTTCTTGATCAATCATTGAAGATTAGATATTGAACGGTCTCTAAATTAGATAGAATAATACAAAAACTGAACCAACATTTACATTTTTTTTTTCAAACATAAAATTCAGAATTCATTTTGAGTTTTAACAGTATCGAATTTTTAAGCGTAATCATTCTAAATCCAAATAATTAGTTTAGGTTATTTGTTTTGGAAGAAAAAAAAATGATGTAACGTTTTGGTGTAAAGTGTAAACCAAATGAACGACAGAGAAGGTCACGCGCTCGTGTGCGTCATGGGAAAAAATAATAATAACCCAATGAAACATTAGGTTAAAAGGATTAATTAATAAAATAAAAATAAAAATAAAATCGGGAGATTAAATGTTTGCGATTAACCATGAAAATAACATTTTCTTCAAAGTAAAAAAAAAAGGAAAGGGAGCACTCGGTGGATTGGTCGCTAGTGCTTAACAGCCAAAGGGTATTTTTTTAAAGCTTTTAATTAAATAATTAATTAATTAAGGATTAGGTTAATCACAATGTTTTAGTTAGTCTTCTTCTTTACGTTTTGTCCGAAACCTTTCTCTATCTCTTTTTTTTTTTTGATATATTGGGGAACCTCGTGACTACCTATCCTTACAAACGGAGACGAACTGGCCACCATCTGCGCCTAACAGTCCCCCACCGGACCTGGCCACCAGACGCGCCTAACGCTCGGACCGTAGTTGGGCTTAGACGTCTGCGGGTCAAACTCCAAGCCCACGTACACGAGCCTACAACACACGTAAGAAGTAAATCAGCCCATTATGATAGGCTGACAGACGAACAGGTCAGAGGAAGGGAGACGGCAGGGTTCGATCCCCCACTTCAAGGAGTTGCCCTCTACTTCCTACCAGCTGACCTGGCCCGAAGGGCTCTCTATCTCTTTTTTCCTTAAGCATTACTTAGTGTTTGGAAGCTCAAGTTGCAGTGAAGATCCAAATGTTTGGTCCGTGTTAATTTGATTAATTTCATTCATTTCCACGCTAAAACTTTGTTACATATTCCATATTACATATGATAACATATGAATATTTCGGATTTCAGTTCGATTATTTTAGAATTTTAAATTTCAATTTTGGAAAAATTATGTCCTTTAGCTTTTAAATAAATTTTGGTTAAGTTGGCGTTGCTAACTCCCTACTTCATTTTCTAAAGGCATACATGCACCCAAAATGATATATATCTATAGATGTGTCGATTAGACGAGATACGGTATATGAATGCATTTTCTTTCTTTTGATCTTCATATGTTCTCTATAGATAGAGAATTATCCTAAATGACTAATTAAACGATCGGTTAAATATAAATGTTACCAAATTTTCGAGAGAATATTTGGATCATGATATTGTGTTTTCGGTCTCTAATAGTCAGATTCCTTGTCATGGACAGAAGACTAACGAAGACAATAAATACATGGTTCTAACCGTAGTTAAACAAACGATCTAAATGGGTCCGATTTCAAAAAAACGATATTTCAGAAAATGAAGGATTCAATTTACTACCTCTAACTAATAGTCTGTCTTAAAAATTTTAAGTTGCTAGGGAAATTAAAGCAGGATAAGCATAGTGTATGATTATATGCTTCAAAGGGTTTAAGGCCGGTGGCTTAAAAGTGAAAATCAATCCGCAAATTGGCTGAATAATGATTTTCCACCCACATAACAATACTATCACATGTTGGTATTGTTTCTCCATTTTATTTAATATTTTAAAACATAGTTGCTTGGAAAATTTTGTATGTAAATGATGATTATCTAGCGTATATATTTGGAAAATTTTGAATTCAAATAAGTTTTTTGCTAAATTCAAGTAGAAAAATATCATTTTTCATATTTTTAAACATAGTTGCTTGGATTTCGAAATGAAAAAGTTAGACCAAATGATTTATATTTATAATTTAACTTTATATTTAGATTTTGTTTGATATTGACTTGCATTAATGTGGATTGAATAAACTCAAAATCATATTAAATTAAACTAAATTCGATAGGATATATCTCAAAGTAGTTTTTTTCGCACATAAAGAGAATAATATATGCCGACACATTTACAAATGTTTATTCATCTTGTACATTTTTCTGTTATTCCATGTTAATCAAAGACATCGTTATCTATATCCATAATGAATTTACTAAAATACTTTTTTGGCAATGGCATATAATTCTACAACCTTAAATACACTAAAGTAATATTCTTTTTTATGGATATGATTAAGATACATACACACATATATATAAATATATATATATACATAAGAGTAATGTAGTATGCAATAATAATGTCTCTTTTTGAATTTATTCAAAGGAGCCAACATATCCATGTAACAAAATAAGTGGTGGAAAAAGGTTATGAAAACGAAATGTGAGAAACATGTTTAGCATTAAGCATAAGTTAGGTCCATCCATCTAATTATAGCCCACTAACATTACTTTAAATCAGAATATATATATATATTGTCTCGGTTCACTTCTTACTCGACTGTTCTAGAATGTATCATAACTAATCTTGGTTACAAGTTACTATATATATATATATATATATAAAGCAGTGTGATCACTACGTATTTATGAAAATGAAGTGTTTATTCATCTCTTTTGGAAGATGACTACGATATTTCGGGTACCGATAAAAGTGGTAAGTGATCGTCAGTATGAAAAGATGCAAATAAAGAACGATTCTTGTCAAAGTTCTAAATAAGAGGGTACAAAGACAAATAGAATATAAGTTATGTATATATAAGACTACATAGACAACAATAATTTAAAAAAAAAATTAATTAAATTATTTATATCTGTATCTACTTTTTCGGTTTCAAAAGAAAATTTCAAAATTAAACGTGCTACTTCCGAAGTAATCAATTGAGTGACTTTTTTAATTAAAAAAAAATACTTTTCAATATACGAATAATGACAAAATATGTTGAAAATTTTCGAATTTCAATGTTCGTTGGTGTTACAATCACAAATGGCAACCTGGATTGAATTCTGGAGAGATTATGAATATGAA